AGTTTATGAAAAGGATAAAAGTACCAGATTATAAAGATCGGAATGTGTTTGGAGTTCCACTGCAAATTAATGTCCAGCGTATGGGACAGCCTCTTCCGCAGAGCATTCAACAGGCCATGCGGTACCTCCGCAACCATTGCCTGGATCAGGTCAGTTTCATTTCACTGCTTTTGCACTGCAATCTCACCTGTTAGAACTTTGTTATTAATTATTTGTCACTCTCAAGTTAAATCAGAAGCCCTTACTTATGTCTTACTTTTGCCGTGTTCAAGCAGTATTCTTACTGAAGTCGATGAGAATTTTTCCTGAGTAAGAACTGCAGGGTTTGGAGCAAGACTGAGGAATCTGAAGTATAGTTAAAGACATCCCTTCTAGATATAATATGCGTGCTTTGGGTTTTTTGTTTTTAATATGTAAACACATGTAGGTTGGGCTGTTCAGGAAATCTGGAGTCAAGTCAAGAATCCAAGTTTTGCGTCAAATGAATGAGAACTCAATAGACGGCGTTAACTATGAAGGACAATCTGCTTATGATGTGGCAGACATGTTAAAGCAGTACTTCCGTGACCTTCCAGAGCCACTCATGACCAACAAACTCTCAGAGACCTTCTTGCAGATTTACCAATGTAAGTCTTGATTTCTCATGTTAAATAGAAAATCAGACACTGATTTCAAAGAAATACATATTTTCCTGCTCATTCTTATAAATGTCTAATATGTAAAGCTAAGGCTGAACTGCCAAATATTCTTCCACAGACAAGCAAGCTGTGATGATTTTGGAGATGAATAACACTATTACGATCCTGTTTTTTCTCTTCTTTTTTGAAGCATCCACTATCTGTCATCCACCTCTTGCAAATACCTGCTTAGCAGAGTCTTTGGCTTCAGTAAAAATTGAAGTTCATTCCAAAATTACTGAAATTCTTTAGAACATATCTGGCCAAATTTGCAACGCACTTTAATCTTAGTTAATGGTCAACAACCACTTCTGAAATGTTTTATCATTCCCACTTCAGTAACTGCCACCCCTCTGCATAGTTGGTTAGAAGGAACGAAGGGATGATTGCCAAAATTAAATGTTTTGATGGCTCAATTGTCGGAGCTTCTAGAAAGAAATGACAAATCTCTCTAGAACCACAGATTCACATCCCAAGAGGGAGATTTCCCTTCATTTCTGCTGACTAAATTGAAGTCTGTACAGATTGCTGTCCATTGTTTGGTCCCTTTTGACTGGCTACAAAACAGAGGCTTAGATTTATTACTGCAGATTCCCCTTACAAGGTTCGTCTCTGAAATATTTACTGCTGAGCTGCCTAATTAGTTACACATGTGCCCCTATTAGGGTGAATGAAATTAATAAACTCCAGAGCAGGTTAGTACTTGTAAATACAAGTACTAACCCGCTCTGGAGTTTTGTGCACAGCAGCACACGTGTAGCTGCTGTCTGGCTGGTTGGGGCACAGGGGTGCTTCAGTGCGGGGGCTGCCTGCTGGCTTGTCCCACACTGAAGCACCCTTATGCCCCAGCCAGCCCTTCCACAGCATACTGTGCCCGCTTGGAGCAGCTCTGGAGTGCTGTCAGCCGGGGCTGTTCTGGCCAGGCTTAGTGTGCTGCTCACAAATAAACTCCAGAGCAATAAGCATGGACTTTATTCATGCACATTAATTGCACATGTAGACACGCCCACACCACAATCTCCCCCCTCCCCTCCCCAACATGTTGCCAGATTAGAAATTTTAGAAAAATCCCAGTTTATGCAGTAAGTAAAAGTAGGTAAATGGCTTTACAATCCCTTGATGTCCTTTGGTGGCAAAACTAGTACACACAAACCATGCTTCCTTATGCTCACAGGCTCCAAGGCAGTACAACTTCAACTGTGCTACGCAGTGAGGTACTCTTCATTCTGTCCATATGAATTCCTGTGGTGATAGCTGAGTGTCTTACATCACCTAGCACCTTTCCAAAAGCCTTCCTGGGGGGATTCCACCACACTGAATGCGTGTCTAGAAAAAACTTAAAGATGATTCAGCCAGCCTGTGTATGTGTGTGTCCACATGGGGATTTCTAGCAGAGTGCAGGTGTGAGAAGGGAATGGCATGTCTCCCTTGCCTCAGGCTTTTACTGCCTCCTTGCACACTGAATACCTGTGCTGCAGAGATGCTTCAAGATGCTTAATGCCAAAGGTTTAAAGCAGTGCTGCAAAAAACTAGTGCTTTTCCCCCTCTATCCACAGGGGCAGGAGCCCTACTGATCTATACCTTCTGTTCACAAAGGATGGCTTGGACTAGAAGTTTAAGCTACTCTCCATAGACAGCAAAGAGTTGTCAGAAATGACTGTAAATTTTGCTTCAGTGTTTACATCCAGAATTCACCTTCCCTTTGTTCTTATGTACCATACTATGCACTGGCTCTGGCTTTGCTTGGGTTAGTAAACATCTTGAGCTTACTGAGGATAAAAGATGATACGTGTGTATGAAAAAAGGTATTTTACAACACTTTTGTAAAAATTTCCCTTCTATCCTTACAACTGGGACCTAAGCCCAAAGCAATCACAACTGAAAGCAGTGTGAGAATTTTATAGTAGATATTCAACCAAGTTTTCCTTCAGCATGCTTTTGTGGTGCTAATGACAGTGTTAGTGCCTGATGATGATTCAGATCCTCAAGTTGTCTTTAAAGCTGGCTCATTGGCATTTGGTTTATGTGAAGCAGGGGCTGGTCTGGCTTATTTTATTATTTGTCCCTTTCAGTTTTTATTTTAAAAAAAAAAAAAAAAAAAAAGGACAAGTCAAAATTTCCCAATGGAGGTGTTTGTTTTCAGTAACCATGGAGCTGTTTAATGGCACGGGGCTGTACTGCTGTGACTCTTTTTCCACCATATGCCTTAGAAAGAGCTGTTCAATAAGGCAGACCTGTGTGTTTTGGTGAAGCATTTTTCTGCATATTTTACTAGCAATTTATTTATTTATTTAATATTTATAGCTTTGTTAATTGCATTTCCCTTGCAAACTTTTTCAGTATTAAGAATTTTTTTTTTCTTTTGCTGGAGTCTTAAGTTGGCTAGACTTTCTGTTTGCTAATTCACCACCTATGTCCATCCAAGTCAGACTTCTGCAGTTTT